GAGTTTAGACTACAGCTCAGGCGGCTAGCAAGGCAACTTGAAGGGCACCACTTGAGTAGTGTTGTTTTGGTGGTTGAACCTAATAAGATTACATTCCTTATATAAAATACTATACCCCACAAGGAGGATATGATCTTACTCTATATTGGGTGCCATAGTATCCCCAAATTAAATACTACTCACTTGAAGTCCCTGCATTCAGAGAACATTGGAACGCCCCAGCAAAGAAGCGGGGAGCTTGTCTTTTCAGGGTCCCAATGTTAAGAAACTCTCAACCCAAAACAAAACAAAAATTATATCATTTTGACACGTGCCTGGCCTGCATCCCCAGATGTCTGCTGTAGCCTCCCTCAGACGATTTGCCAGGCCTTGGCATGGGCTACCTGCTTAGGGTTTAGGGTGTAAGGTTTTGGTTCAGCACTGCCCCCCCTCAGTAACAGTTGGATAATGATTAAAATATGGTTTTATATAGCCCTTAATAGGACCCCTAATATAGACTCTTACTGGGTGGGGGCAGTACCCAAGGTTTAGGGTGTAGGGTTTAGGGTTTAAAGGTGAGGGACTGGGAGAAAGGAACAGGAGAAACATTCGGAAAGAGGGGCCAGACATGGAGGTTTCCTAAACTTAGGAATACCTTTGTGCGTGTCCCTATAACTTGGAAACAATAATATGCTGGGGTTTAGGGTTTAGGGCTGAGGCTTTAGGTTTTGGGGAATCTTTTACGCAAGGCACCTATAATGTATTGGGTAAACCCTAAACCCTAAACCCTAAGCCCTAAACCCCCTAAACTACCATATAGGGCTTCGGATTCAGGAAGAGGAACTGGAGCATCGGGGACTGAAGGCTAAGAGGCACCAAGTTGGCAAGGAGAATTGAGGAGTTTAGGGTTTAGGGATTAGGGCTTAGGGTTTAGGGGCATGCACCAGCAACGAAAACACAACTCGAACTGTTGCATGTGCGGGTCCTGTTTACGCGCGCATGTGAAGACTGTGCTGTCAACCCATATCTACACCGTCTTTCAGCACACCTCTCGAGATTTCACAATGCAGGGTTCTACGCGACTGCGAACTTTTGTGTACACATGCAACCTGGGCCTTTGTAAGGCTCTGCTGGCGACCTTTAGAAACACCAGGAAAACAGAGGGCTCCGTGGTAACATGTCCGGTGTCAAAATCCATACTTGTCGGCGGTCCTTTTCGTCCCTTCTCTATCTGTACAGCACACAAGACAACACCTCCCCAGATCCTCAAACAGTCGATGTTCAACGCCTTGAATCGCAACTACCCCAGACCCACACTCCGACAACCCTGCACCGCCAGACTGCTGAATGCCCCTGACTCCTATGAAAGTCCCCTCCGTTGAGTCCCCGGAGTCACCAACCCCTATGGTCAGATTCCATTCCCCTACGGTTTAGGGCCTAAGTCCCCAGTAGATCCTCAATCCCTAATCCATGCCTCACCCCTTTTCCCTCATTCCCCTTACTGTAGGGTTTAGAGTTCAGGATGTTAATGATATGGGAACCCCTTGAGGCACTATGTATGTACTGCTTGGGTGATTCCAATAAAGGGGGCCCTTTGGATTAATTATAGCGCACTCGGCTCTAGAGTGCTTATGGAAACCCCCATCTACGTACATGGACCGAGATCTAAGCCCTAAACCCTACATCCTGAACCCTAAACCCTAAACCCCTAAACCCTAAACCCTAAAACCCCTAAATCCCTAAACCCCTAAACTCTAAACCCTAAAACTCCTAAATCCCTAAACCCCTAAACCCTAAACCCTAAACCCTAAAACCCTAAACCCCTAAACCCTAAACCCTAAACCCCAACCCCTTCCCGGTCCCAGGATCTTTGGCGAGAGAAGGAAAAGCGAAAGCATCTCAAACCGAAGGCAAAGCTCATGGCACTCCAGGAACTCCTCGAAGGTAATGTAAACCCCTAGGGTTTAAGGGTTAGGAGTCTTAGGGTTTAGGGTTTAGGGTTTGGGAGTTTTAGGGTTTGGGAGTGTTAGGGTTTGGGGTTTGGGTTTAAGACTTAAACTCCCAAACCCTAAAACCCTGCAAAACATCTGGGGATTTGCCCAAATGATAGGTGCTAAAGTATTTTGAAGTTGTATTGGGATCCCTAGATTTGGGGAAACTACCATCTTAGCTCAGAAACAGCCCCTAAACCCTAAAGCCTAATGTAGCCCCATGATTAATAAACCCCC